TTTTTAAATTGGGTTACGTTAATTTATAAAAGCTACGAATGAACATGTCATTAGTTGTATTTATGTAGTGTTGTCGTAAATGTTAAAAAATTTAATTATGGTATGGAACCGAACCGAACCCGACGGTTCCATTTATTAAATACCCAAAAATTTTGGTTCGGTTCTAGTTCGAATGATTCTCTAATTATATTTGGACCCGACGGTTCTATTTATTAAATACCCGAAAAATTTGGTTCAATTATTTTCAAAACCGAATCGACCCGACCCATGTTCTGCCCTACTTTTTCTTAACAATGAAGGCTTCAGCATTGAAAGCAATAGCCATCTATTCAATCTGAGAGTTTCACTCCTGGTGATCGGTCACATTTATATGAAAATCATCTCTTAAATGATATTATTTTTTTTCTTTTCAATGATAGCGATAACAACGTGTATCACTATCGAGTCATATTTGTCTTTTAACAGCTGGTTTTAGTTACATTTGGAAGCTATAATTTGACATGTCATTGCACCACTGTTGCAACGATATTCCTATAGAGAGAGAACCTTTCATATTTTTACCAGATGGTTCAAATAATTTTGGCTGAGTTATAAATGTAAATAATAATGCTGGGAAAGGAGCAATAATGTGTTTTTTTTATTTTGAATCTATAATGAAACCTTTAGATACCACAGGAAAAAAGCTTCTTCTGCAGTGTTTTCGTTGAAGAGTTGATTAGGTAGTAAAAAAATGAATAGGACAAAAGAGAAGCCATGACTTTGAACCAAAAGCCAGTTATTGGGGAGCTGTTCTGGGACTGATAAACACTTAATTTTGTATTATACTAGTTTTTCTATCTTATTTTTGTAGGTTCTTAATTTTAGGTATTTGATTACACTATATTTTGTCTTTCACGACTAGGAATTTAGAGTTTGTTTGTTTTAAACTTGGATTTTCATGATTTATTGCTCCAGCAAGAAAAAATGCAGAGGGACAGCTTTAGACTGTTTTGCTTATGCTTTCTTTTGTCCTTTAGAGCATGTGAAATGATTTATATGTTTTAGGTCATCCTTGTTCTTACCTCTTACTCAATTATGATATGCAATTTGATTATGTTAGAGCATCGATGTATTGGTAATATAACCCATTTTTCTTCTCTCTTCATTTCCTCTCCTCCCTCTGAGCTTGATGAATTTTGGAGGATGAGCTATAATTTTTTTCTTCTATCTTTTTACCAGTTTCCTCCTCGCTCTTGTATTGAGTTGGGAGAGAGAGAAATGGAGGGAATCTTATTCAATCAAATTG